TGCTTACAACTTGTTTTCTTTGACCGGGTGGGTGATCTCAACAGTACTTTCGCTTACAAATTAGTTGATTTAACCGGTTGGTGATTTCAAGATTACTCACTCTAATCAACTTTTCTCTTTTACCAGATGGTGATCTCAACAGTACTTTTGCTTACAACTTGTTCTTTTCGACCGGGTGAGTGATCTCAACAGTACCTTTGCTTGCAACTTGTTCTTTTCGACCGGGTGGGTGATCTCAACAATATCTTTGCTCACAACTTGTTCTCTTTGACTGGGTGGTTATCTCAACTATCTCAACAGTACTTTCGCTAACAAATTGGTTGATTTAACTGGTTAGTAATTTCAAGATTACCCACGCTAATAAACTTTTTTCTTTTACCAGGTGGTGATCTTAATAGTACTTTCGCTTACAACTTGTTCTCTTCGACCAGGTGGGTGTTCTCAACAGTACCTTTGCTTGCAACTTGTTCTTTTAGACCGGGTGGGTGATCTCAACAGTATCTTTGCTTGCAACTTGTTCTCTTTGACCGGGTGGGTGATCTCAACAGTACTTTCGCTTACAAATTGGTTGATTTAACCAGGTGGGTGATCTCAACAGTATCTTTGCTTACAATTTGTTCTCTTCGACCGGGTGGGTGATCTCAACAGTACTTTTGCTTACAACTTGTTCTCTTCGGCCTGGTTGCTGATTTCAAGATTATCTACGATAACCAAATTTTCTCTTTTACCAGGTGGTGATCTCAACAGTACTTTTGCTTGCAACTTGTTCTCTTTGACCGGGTGGGTGATCTCAAAAGTACCTTTGCTTACAACTTGTTTTCTTTGACCGGGTGGGTGATCTCAACAGTACTTTCGCTTACAAATTAGTTGATTTAACCGGGTTGGTGATTTCAAGATTACCCATGCTAATAAACTTGTTTCTTTTGCCAAATAGTGATCTCAACAATACTTTTGCTTACAACTTGTTCTCTTCAACCGGGTGGGTGATCTCAATAGTGCCTTTGCTTGCAACTTGTTCTCTTCGACCAGATGGGTAATCTCAACAGTACCTTTGCTTGCAACTTGTTCTCTTCGACTGGGTGGGTGATCTCAACAGTACCTTTGCTTGCAACTTGTTCTCTTTGACCAGGTGGTTATCTCAACAGTCCTTTGCTTACAACTTGTTTTTTTTTAATTAGGTGGTTATCTCAACAGTACTTTCACTTACAAATTGGTTGATTTAACTGGGTTGATGATTTCAAGATTACCCACGCTAATAAACTTTTCTCTTTTACCAGGTGGTGATCTCAACAGTACTTTTGCTTATAACTTGTTCTCTTTGACCAGGTGAGTGATCTTAACAGTACCTTCACTTATAATTTGTTGCTGTTAGGATGGGCGATTTAATTCTATAATTAAATTAGATTCTTTATTATGTAATTATTTTGTAAAATTATCTTTTCAATAAAAAATTATAAGCTATGTAAGCATTATACTATAAAATATATTTGTAAAATATATTTTATTTTAAAAATTCATATAAAATAAAAACAATATGCGAATAGCAAATAGTAATACTAATTTATTAATTACATAAATATTGCATGAACATTATTTATTTATTAATTAATACTGTTTTAATATTATAATACTTATTTATTTTATATATATAGTATTATTAATTTTATTCTCACCTTTATCATAAGCTGGAAATTCTGTTTTTTTGAAGCATTAATCTATATTGAGGTTCATGATTTAGTAATTGATAAACATTAATATTTGTCAAAAGACTCATATTCTAAGTGGTGAATAGAACAATTTTTTTTTTTATCAACATGATTCGCTTCTGTATTGATCTGACCTACTTGTTAATTATAGATTATGACCTTATAATACGTATATTATAACTTATAACACTACTGTTATATTATCGTTATAACCATTTTGGTTATATATATAAAATGTTATAATCTAAAATGGTCAACACTGCTGTATTCAGCGTAATGATACCTAAAATATTTGTCATTGATAGATAATGAAATCATTTTGTCAGATGATCTCTAATTGACGAATCTACGAAAGAACATCCTTAAAATAAACCAGTGATCTAGTTCTAATCTTAAACCTTCTATGATTTGTTGAAAGTTATACAATTGCGATTCAAGAATCTAAACTCCTGGTTTAGGTTAAAATGTTCTTTACGAATTCTATGACGATGAATAAAACTGATAATGAAATTTATATGAAATTTGGCAAGCTGACTTAGTAAAATAATAAACTCAATAATAGTTAAAATTGGGAGCTGATGATAATAATTTGAGTGTCGCCAAGAAGGAATCTGACTTTGAGATCTCGTACTATTGATTATAATTAGCTCTTGCGATATATGATTAGTGATTTGTAATAGAAATCAGGCTTCTAGTCATTTCTAATTAGTTCACTGAACAATTAGAAAATTCATTGTTCACGCGCTTGATATGTTGCTGATTCAATTTTCAAGTTTGAGTCTGGGTTTTCCTAAATGCTAAAGAAAATAATAAAAATTTTGAATCTTATAGCATTTTAAAAAGCTTGGTAAATAAAAATAAACTATACATTGTCTTTATTTTTAGGTCGTATTGATCATTAGGATTTTATCCATCAGGAATTTTAAGACTGTCAATTATAGGGGTTTCGTCAGTCGATATTTCATTAATTTGATTCAAGGTTTTGTCAATTGTCAGAAATTTTTAGAGGATTCATCAATTAAGGGTCTCATCAATCACCATTTTGTCATCAATCGCTAAGGATTTCATCAGATGAAATATTCATAATCACGAAATTTATTTACTGACAAGATTTAATCATGCAGAGATTTTGTTAAAGATTTCATCAATCGTCAGTTTTGTCAAATTAAATTATGATGAAATCTTTAGTCATTATAAATTCATTTCGTTGGGTATCATTAAACATTATGCGAAAAATCATTAGTAATAGATTAAAGAACAGATAGGTATAAATAGGAGGAAAAAAGTTGTTAGAAAAGCATAAAGTTTTTTGTAACAAATAAAAATTGCATATCTTTATTCTCTAATAAATAGTTTTTATTAAATTAATAAAACAATGTATCATATTGAACCTTAAATAAAATAAAATTTTACATTCGCGATATTATTCTAATTTTAAAAATAGCGTCTACTTTTAATATTGCATCTACCTCCAATATTGCATCTACCTCCAATGCGTCTGTCTCTAATGCATATGTGTTAACTCAAAAAGCTGTAGTATGGTGCTTTTTTGACCCTCCAATTGTTGATGCTGGGAAAAGAAAGGCCAAATGCCGTTTATGCCCAGACAACAAGTATCTTATAATTAGCAACAGTGGGACCACTAACTTACGCAATTATGTTATTAATGTTCACAAAAAAAATCTTTCAGAAGAGACTAATTCTGATGATGATTTTATGGTTATAATTCCTCAATCAAGTGAATCTATCTTTAGAGATGCCTTGGTCAAATAGATTGCGACTGATAATCTTCCATTTACTATGGTTGAATCAGAAAGTTTTTGTGAGATTATTAAAATAATTAAGAAATTAAATGGTGATGTTACAGTTCCTTCTGCTAAAACAGTCAAACACGATTTATTAAATAAATACTCAGCTCTCCAAGACTCGATAAAAAGCATATTAATGAACAATTTGAGTCAGATATCTCTTACTACTGATATCTGGACTAGTAAAAGCTGTAAAGCCTTCTTAGGCGTTACAGCACATTGGATTGATGATGACTGGGAAATTAAATCTCAAGTACTCGATCTTGCGCCATTCGAAGGACCACATACTGGAGAGAATATAGCAAATACTTTAATTAGTATTTGTGAAAATTTTGGTATTGTTAATAAAATACTAGGAATAACCGTGGATAATGCCTCAAATAATAATACATTTCTTGAAGCATTTGAATCACAATGTAAAAATATCAACGGCTCTTTCAATAAACGGCAAGGACATGTTCACTGCATTGCACATGTAATGAATCTTTCTTTACAAGATTTTTTACATTACCTATGTTTGGAAGCACTAAATCAAGAAGATGATGAAACTAGTATTCTAAGTCAACCTACTACTTCTCAGACCCCAACAATTAAAAAGCTTCGAAAGCTTATTGCCAAACTTTGGTTATCACCTCAGCGCCGTCAAAGATTAAGTGAGCTATGCCTATATTTAATATACAATATAAAATTCCTATTCTTGATTCAAAAACAAGATGGAATTCGACTCTTGACTTAATCAAACAGGCTGTTGATATAGTACTGGCAATCAACTCGATGGCCAATGAAATTCAAGGATTAAATGAATTAAGCCTTTTATTAAGAGAATGGGATATGCTTAATGAAATATTATTACCTCTAAGGGCTTTCCATAATATTTCTATAATATTGTGTGGTGAATCATATGTAACTATGCCACTTGCTATACCAGCATATAATTTAATCATGGATGATCTTGAAAAGATGCAGGAGCAATGTTCCTCTTTCGTTAAAGAGGCCGTTGAAGTAGTACTTGATAAATTGAAATTCTATTATACCAAATATGACAATCCAATCTATGCAGTAGCTACTTTGCTGGACCCAAGATTAAAAAAAGCATATTACGAGGCAGAAAGTTGGGATGAGGAATGGATTACTTGGGTAACCGAATGTCTAAATGATATGTATAACAGGTATAATCATGATGATACAGTCCTAGAAATGGATTATAATATTAATAGTAATCGTCTTGATCGCGTATTTGAAAAGCTTTGCCGTTCTACCAATATAAATGAGATTAGTTCATATTTAAATAGTTCTTTTATTAATAAAAAAATAAATGTGTATCAATGGTGGAAAATGCATGCTGTTGAGTTTCCAAAATTAGCAGCTATAGCACATAATTACCTGGCTGTGCCGGCAACAAGTGCATCATCCGAAAGACTATTTTCTAAAAGCCCAGGTATGGATACTATAAAATGTGGATCCCTAAATCCGGAAACAATTCAAAAATCCATTGTACTTAGTGATTGGTTAAATTAATATTTAAACTTTTTTTTTCTTGTTTGATATATATCATATGTACAATGTAATATCTTAGTATTGAATACAAATTATACGTATATTTTTCAATAAATAACTTCGTTAACTAAATTTATCCGTAGAGTATGGCACCCTGTTACATGAACATATTACACATTTGAAATGGCACATTACAGTACTCAACTGAATTTTACTATGTAATGAATAATATTAAATGAAATATATAGGTTGGTTATTGTAATTAATATATTAAAAAAGATGAAAAAAGGTATCTGTAATCGTTATTACCTAAAACATGATTGAATAAGTACTAAATGAAATAATTAATGCGAATATATTATATGGGTTCTTTCATATCAAATCGGGGCTTAGAGAGATTTTAACTGTAATTGAGATTCTTATTGGGTTATATTCCTAAATACATACTTTATCCGTGGCAAAAACTTTGGTAAACATAAATATCATCTTAGGGTTAGGATTAAGGTCAAGGAATGGGAATAGGTTATACCAAAATTTCACAAGGAATTTTTTTTTGTTAGAATATATAAAGCAGTTTTATAAACAAATTTCGAGTTATTGGCAAATCGTAGTTATGTATGTACCTGCTGAATAAAATAAAAATTTTCAAACCATTTTTAATTTAAAAAAAAGATACTATCAATCTAAAAGTAATTATATAAAATATTCAAGTACTGTTGAGATCACCCACCCGGTCAAAGAGAACAAGTCATAAGCGAAGATACTGTTAAAATCACCATCTAGTAAAAGAAAAAATTTTGTTAGCGTGGGTAATCTTGAAATCATCAACCCGGTTAAATCAAACAATTTGCAAGCGAAAGTACTATTGAGATCACCTACCTGGTCGAAAAGAA